TAAAAAAACGCAAGAAACGCGTTTCTTGCGTTTTTTTAATGAGCGTTACTGACTCACAATCGCGGTTCCCTTTTGAGCGTTTAAACGCGTTTTTCCAAATGTTTGTCTGCTTGGGCCGCCTTGGATCAATTGATGCATCAGCTGTAATACCAGACCCAACAACTGTATCTCGTAAAATTCATTCATTAGCTGATGACCAACGTAAAAAGCTGAACGAATCGACTGCTTTTATGTTAAAGAACATAATGGTGTTTGGTTTGACCCTCGATTATTGGAAAAATAGTTACACAGGTCACAGTTATTTAACAATAAATATGTATTTTTCAAAAAATGGAGATATGAAGTCAATTATGTTAAAGACAATGTTGTTTACTGCGGCGAAAACAGGCGAAAATACGAAAAAAAGTGAGTAGCCATCCGCTACACAATCTTCTCTATCTCTTAAGGTAAAACTGATGTGTTGATAGCCAGCATCTCTAAATCTCAAAATTTTCCATAACATGTGATTTTCGAATGTTTTAGCACTTGACGTAACGTTAAGAAGTTATGGTATTGACCAGGACAAATGTCATATAATTTACGTCAGTGATAACGGTTCCAATTTAGTAGCGGCATTGAAAAATGAGTGTCATTTACGATATGTATGCCACTGTATCAACTTGACGTTATAACATTCCATTGAAGCATGTGATAAAGTGAAAGAACTCGTTCGTGAGTGTCGGTTATTAGTTTCCCATTTTAAAAGAACTGAATTAAATCAAACTTTAACAACAAGTTTAAAAAACGATTGCGAGACACAGTGAAATAGTATATATGATATGCTAAATTCAATCGAAAGTAATTTTGAACAGTCCGAATCATTATTAACAGCATCAGGAGAAGATGATTATATGCTAGGAATTGATAAACGTTTTGTTAACGAAGTTATGACAATATTATCTCAGTTTAAAACAGCGAGTGAACAATTATCCGCTGATCATGAGCCGACACCCCATCTTGTTGTTCCTTGGTTTTGTAAACTCAAATCGTTTTGTGCAGATAAAAACAGTGATACATTGACGATTCATGGATTCAAAAAAGCTTTGCGCCAGAAGCTAGATGGCAAGATATGGCTTACGTCTTTGCACTACTCTGCAACTTTTCTTCATCCTACCACAAAAGCACTTTCAGTAAGCAGAAAATGTTTGTAATTTATAAGAACAGGTTATATTCTATGAGCATTTCTAAAGCGAAGTTCTCTGTTGGATTCCTCTTCAACTCCTTGTCTCCTTTATGAGTAAACAAACAAAGAAGCGTGTTCGTCTTAACGACGAATTTTACTAAAAATGTTCACATTCTCTTCTGTTCTAGCTCGTACATTTCAGCTACATAGAGGAATTTAACCTTTACATCGATGAAATAGCGTCGTTTATTATAGACGTGTAAAATACTTTTTCTTAAGTCATGAATATAGGATGTGGTGTGTGTTTTATAGACATTAACAAAACGTGAACGTGAAGAAATATTAGCCGATACACGAAAACTTATTGTCACATTGCAAATTCCAAAATCGGATCACGAGAACATAAAACAAGCTCCAAAATCAAAGCGGTTTAAGAAAGATTTAATAACAGTGAATGCTGTTTTAAAAGAATTCGCTTGCCAGGATGATCAGGAAATAGATGAAGAAGAACAAGATGAAGTAGCTGAATATTCGAGAGCAACATTACGTTTTAGCTCTGAAGAAGCGGTAAAGTCGCGTTTTGCCAATAGACATTCGCCATATTGGCGATTGGCGAATGTCTCATAGGCATTCATCGTCTATTGGCGTAAGTTGAATTGGCGAACTGCGACAAATCCATCATGATATGCTGGAATTTTTAGATTTCCTCGATTTTGAATTCATAGAAAATCTCTAACCCAAAAATGCTGTAATAGCTTTCGGACTTTTATATCCAATAGAATTTTTTCGAACTTTAGTGAAATAATTGCAAAATGGTCTTAGGTTTGTTGCCAGCAGCCGGTGCACTAGCTGGTGAATATTTCTTTGGTAAAAGTCGTGTATGTCAAAAGATCACCGATGGTTATGTGACATATGGAGATCAGAGTTACAACTACTAGCATTCCTCACCTTTGCATTACAAAGCACGTGGATATTACGGAAGCCGAAATCATTCAGCTACGTCAGGTCAGTATGCTACCATACACTGGTTGATGAAGAAATATTTTTCTTTGTGGATAAAGTGACTACTTTGATTGAGAAAACATATCCGAGCGCTCCCCTACAAACACTTTTCTGTTCACTGGACTTTCGTCAAATCTCTCCTCAAAGTGACAGTGACCTGGAGTTTCATAAAAGCTTTTTGATGGCACAAGAATTTCATTAAAAATCTTAATGAATCTCGTTTAATGAAAGCTTTTTTAATGAAACTCCGGACAGAGTTATGCTATGTTAGATAATCTTTGCTCCATATAAGGGAATTGGCTTTTTTGTTTAGAGCACGACATTTTGAGTTATTCTGTAACTCAAGAAAGGAGCACGTGGTGGTTTACGAATGTAGTTTTTGGGACATCTCTAGTATCCCGTACATGTGGTGCTGGAATCCTCAGCCCTTTCCACTTTTTGAATCAATTCCTAAAAACAATACGGTACGTAACATACCAGAATCACTCAAGTGCAGCCATCTGGCAAACAAATAATAGTTCACTTAATCTTTCTTGGACGTGTAAAGTTTTCACCTTTTTTGTTGGCACTTCTAAAAACAAATTGAGTACAAAAACGTCAGCCCAAAAGAAGAATGTTTTATATCATGAAGTCGGTTAATTCAATTTGTGGCCCTAAACCATCCAGTTAACAATGAGATATAGTGTGAAAAATGTGCTCCACATAAAGATATGAAGGATGAATGGAGAGAGGAGAAAACCCGTTTTATTAAGTGCAATGTCTGGTAGTTAATGTTTCAATTTTCACACATCAAACAATTTTTGCAGAAATTAGAATTAAGGGTACTCCTCCCTCTTTCTTCACCTTCTTGCGAAATGTTCGATTGAGCTCAAATTTCTATCAGACATAGACGAACGAACAGAAAAGCGATGTATTTTTGCTCAGAATTTTGTGACACGCTTCTATCGGATTTCTAGAAACTTCCAGTCACACCCCACGAAAAATGGTTCAATCGGGTCCAAAGCTGAAGTCCGCATAAGACCTGAAATCGACCTACTAACTTTCACCGCTTTAATCGGTACAAAACTCTTCAGAATCATGTTCGATGATTACGACCCTTCCAAGCGCTTTCAGACAAATATACCCGACAGAATCTACTTGAAAACTAGCAACGACAGCTTGACTGTAAAATCAAAATTTCTCTGTAACTGTTCAATATAAAGCCTATAGGCTTTATATTGAACAGTTACAGAGAAATTTTGCACTATAGTGCAATGCATAATTCGATGTATCTTAAAAAGCCTCTCAACATGTGCTAATAGGAAACCTAATGAAGCCTGCCAGCAGCTTTTATGAGGTCAACCCTTTACACCCGCCGATCCCTTCCCAGGGGCGTTGATATAATGGATTTTTAAAAAGAACGAATCATCAGCCAAAAGATTAGATTATTACTAATGTAAGACAATAGAGTAGCTTAACGTTTGATTGAAATAAGAAAGAAAATTTTGCATCTTAATCCGATATTTTTGAATTTTAAAATTGAATGAAGTTCAGAAATGAATTTTTGTTTTTAAATATTTTCTGTACTTGTAGCCACTAAACCATTTTCTAATTTTGTAGCTGATACTTTTGGTTGTATGGATATACTTTATAATGAAATCAAAGAAGAAATTTTTGTAGCATTCTTCTTTGCGTAAAGGCGCTGTGAATTCACTGTCCCTTGGAAGGGACATTCGGGTGTAATGACATGAAAAGTGAATTTTTTTATCTT